AACGCAATAAACGCATGACTGCACCCGAAAAAGCAGCGGACTTGTGCCGTAGTAAACCTGTAACTCCTCAGGGCTGCTAACAAAAAAGAGACTGAATTGGGCTAAGCAACATCAAAATTGGACAGTTCCCAACTGGAACAAGGTGCTTTTGGAGCGATGAAGTTTTTGGTTCTAAGAGTATTTGTCCACTGTCGGCCTAACGAGAGGTCATTATACAGGTCCGTATTTTCCTCAATGGTCTAGGAATAATTTAACAAAATAAATGATTATTTTTATAGAAAGAAGTGCACATACTTTTCACAATTCTTTATTCGCAGGAACTACTTCAATCATCGTCCGAATGGTTAATATTAATTATTACAGGTTCAATTTGAATATTGATCATATTGTCCAGATCCCACATCTTTGTTTCGATTGTCTCTTGAACGAGACGGATGCAATCTCTCCAATGGTTTGCCGTCAGTCTGTTGACAGCTGCATAAAACAAATTTTTCACGTCAGAAAATTTGAATGTTCTGTTGTTTGAAGCCACATTTTCTTTATATTTGTCCAAATCATTTCAATGGGATTTAATTCGCAGTGATAAGGGGGTAGCTTTAAAACGGTCTTATTTTGATTTTTAGCCATTTCGTCAGTAACATTAAGTTTATATTTATATTTTTGCTGCATGACTAGATGGATAAGTTCTGCTCTGACCCTGTTTTCATTGAAACTAATGTCTTTTGATAGGAGCCATTGTTAAATTTCTGTCTTTCTTGTGGACATTGCGAGAATTTTTTTTAGACAATTTATCGTCAAGCTTCGGGAGCGTTTTTTCAAACAATCGTTCAAATGAACTCCCGTCCATTTCTTCATGATACTCGGTCGTTTTCTTTGACTCAAATGCTCATATGGCAGTGGGCACAGATCCACCTTCACTGCCAATGTGATAGATAACAAATTGTTTTCTTTTTCCTGGAAATAATTATTTCATACAGTATTCAAGAAAACTAATAAGAATACAGAGTATCTAACAGGTGTTGGTTCCATATCTACCATATATAGCTAAGTTTAGTGTAGCTAAGTTAGCATGGGCTCATAGAGTCAGACTACTTGACACCATTTTTAGAACACAAATGACGAATTGGTTAGACACACGCAACTGACGCATTCTTTAGGCCAGTGGTTAATCCATCTAAGAAGGCTTGACTTGCTGATTTAATTGTAAAGTCGCCCATACTTTAGGTTTTTTTATGTCCTGCATTTATTCAGGTTTCATCCAAGTGATGAATTTTTTTATTGTCTGGTTTTTGGCTACTACCCCTTTAGAAGTTCGCTCAGTAAATTTTATCTCATGAATTGTCTTAATCTGTGAGTAATTTTTCGAGGTATATTTCATCGAGGACACCCATTCCCTAAAGGTTGAAATCGATTTTTTATTTATCTGATTTTTGGCTGCCAGCCCTAGAAGTTCTCTCAGCTACTTTATTCTGGCCGCATTGTGTCCCTAACTAGTGTTATAAGAGCATATTATTCCTTCTGACCGACGCCACTGTTCGTTCGGGTAACTTCGGGAAATTCTCTGCTGGAATTTGTACTGTAACCTCTTGTGTGGCGGGAACAATTTTTTGTTTTTTATATATTTAACAATGTTGAAAATTTTCTTAGTGCATAAGCCACGTCTTTCAATATCATGAATTTGTATTGCTTATAAACGGACATGTCTGATGAGGCAGCATGGCTGAAGGAAGCATTGGGAGAAATATTCTCAGTTTCATCTGCTGTATCCGTAGACAACATGCTAACGTATAAACGCACGCACCGAATATGAACACCAACTGTTGGCGATACCCCGAGCCTATCCTGTCGAATCCTGCACTTGTTCGTAGTTTTATTGCCGAATGAATAATTCCTATTGCAACGCTTAGGCGGCTGCCGCGCTGCAGCTGGGTTGTGCCGGGGCATAAATGGACCACGAATGGGGTATAGAATCATGCACCGTCGCTTCAGTCAATCACGGTGGAGGCTCTATAACGATTTGGGGCTGTTATGGTGGTTCCGCTCTGGGGGATATTGTAGAGTACAGAATAAAGAAGGTTACAAAGCCATACTACAAAATCATGTGCCTTATGGGACTTGTCTTATTGGTCCGGGGTTTACCTTTCAGCATTATAATGACCCCAAACACATATCCAAGCTGTATACACAATTTTTGGAAGCAAAAGCAGAACAAAATATTTTGAAAGTCGTGCAATCGCCTCCCCAATCCCCGGATTTGAATCCGATAGAGATGCTGTGGGGTGAACTGGGCAGACAAGTATGGAAATGTTGTCCTACATCCTAAATAGTTGTATGTTGTTAAGAATTAAGAAAATAAATGTTTCATATAGGTATTGTAATGTTTTCTTTAATAACTTCCATCAGTTTCATTTATTTCTGGGTGTTCAAATACTTTTGAACGGTAGAGTACATTAAAGTGAATATAAAATGACCCTTCAAATGTTATATAGCATGTTACCAATAGTATTATACCCGTTTTACAACAACAACTTCTTACGAATTTATTTCAATGGATTTCTTCAAGGTCATCTAACTATGTTTTGCGGTGTTTACATCAATGGACAAACTCATGGATTATCTGTCAGTATACAGTGCTATCAACCACACAACAAATGCTTTCTAGAAAAGTTCTGAGTTTTTATGTGTATTGCGTATTGCGCCTTTGATGTTGAGGCAAATTTCATAATCATATTGTTTTGAATATTGTGGTTATAACTTGAACTAAAAAGTTGTTCAATCTAATGGAAAGGAAAACATGTTTGGCATGAAATTTGACGTCCAACTTGGCAAACATTAAAACAGGTTCTAATTTCGTGAAGAAATCCACGAAGAACAATTTCTGTTTAATACTTGGCCCTGGACTCAATACATGGAGAAATCCGTGGAGGTATTGTCAGTGTAAAACGGGTATTACGCAGCCCTTTATGGTAGTATAAATGGCAACACTGTCTTGCTGGTGCCTGCCTAATGAAGAAAGAAATTCGATCCTTCCCTCGATTTGCTAAATCAGACAAATTACAAATCGTAATTATCGTGATAACGTCATAGTCCCATCAGGAGCTAATTAAATTGACTATGAATTGGTGGTAATATCAGACCCGCAGGGAAGGGTGGGGGTGGGTATTTGCAAGCCTAAACAGTCGTGTATGTTAGTAATTGAAGCGTAGATCTTCATATTATCTGCAAAAGACAAGTGTTCACAGCTCAAATCCTCGGAGAAGCCATGAATAAATAGCAAAAATAATAAAGGCCTCAAATTAGACCCCTGGGGCACACCAGATGGAGTTGAGTGTGCTTCGGATTTGAAGCCATTGTATGATAAGTGAGATCTGAAGAACTGTAAATGTACCTTTTCTACATAAATCAAATTACCTAAACGGTCGGATAGGCCAGCGGATCATTTTCCATGCTATCTATGTATACTGAGTGACATATAAATCCGAACACCCAGTTTAAATGGTTTTATTTTAATAAAAGTTGGTGAATGTATTTATCTTACTGTAACTAACAAGTGAAAAATTTTTCAGCCTTATCAGTTGGACATTCCGGTTTTTATACTGCTTTTTTTTAATTCACTAACGCTCTAAAAATGAATATTTCAGCCGCAGTAAAGAATCAACGTTGGCGGATTTTGGTTCTTGACATCCTTTACGATCGGTTACGATGCCTAGAGTACGGAGACCTGTACGATTTCGTCAACTTAGTGAGTTTGATAGGGGCCGTATAGTGGGATTTCGAGAAGCTGGACTTTCTTTTCGGGCCATTGCAGTTAGAGTGCAAAGAAGTGTAGACACTGTGGTTAGGTGTTGTCAGGCATGGCTTCGAGAAGGCCGTACGCAAAGAGCAAGGGGCACTGGACGCCGCCGTAGAACAACAGACCGTGAAGATCGCCGCCTAAGATTATTGGCCTTAAGGGACCGTTTCTCCACTACCAGGTCCATTGCAAATGAATGGTTTGCAGAACACGGAAGACCTATTGGCATGCGAAGTGTTAACCGACGAATGAGAAGTTTTGGCTTGTTTTCATACCGGCCACACTGGGTCCTCCCTTTAACTCGAAAACACAGACGTAATCGCCTTGAGTGGTGCAGACAACGGTCACTCTGGGATTAGGAATGGAACAGTATTGTCTTTAGTGACGAGTCTCGATTTTGCTTAGGCATGCACGATGGTCGTGCCAAGGTTACAAGGCGACGTGGTGAAAGGAGGAATCCACAGTTTTTTGTTGAAAGACATGTTCATCACACTGTTGGAGTTATGGTTTGGGCTGCTACAGCTTATGGTTCCAGGTCACCTTTAATCTTCATCAGAGGTAACATGAACGCGCAGCGTTATATCCACGAAGTTCTAGAACCCCATCTTTTACCCTATCTTGACACCCTGGCAGATCCAACTTTCCAACAAGATAATGCCCGACCACATGTTGCAAGAGTCACAATAGACTTCTTTCAACATAATGATGTCACATTGTTACCATGGCTACCAAGATCTCCCGACTTATCCCCAATTGAGCACGTGTGGGATATGATGGGTAGGAGATTGCTCAATTTGCAACGTCCTCCTCAGACTCTAGAAGCACTTCGAGAGGAGTTGGTGGTTGCCTGGAATGAGATACCACAGGAGGACATTGACCACCTGATCAGAAGCATGCCTAGGCGCGTTGGAGAATGCGTAGCACATCAGGGTGCATCCACACATTATTAAAGGTCAAAGGGCTTTAAAGCAGTGCAATCATTTTGAAATTTTTATCATTTACTTATTATGCTTCATTAAGTACTTATACAAAATGTTATTAAAATAAAACCGTTTAAACTGGGTGTTCGGATTTATATGTCACTTAGTATATGTACCATAAGAGCAAATCTACTTTAGTTTTTCCGTATCACAGAAATATCACTAGGGTTAGGTGTAACCAGTTTTTTAGGTCTACTTCTGACAACAAAATGTTTTTAGGTTTACTTTCCGGGTCTAGTACATGTAGTTTATGTAATCAGACCAGCAAGTTTTATACAGAAAGCCTTATCTGAAGTAAGCAATAAGCTGTTCAAAGACGAGTTTAAATTTAGGATGATAGTACTAAGTACTACCGAGGAATTGCACAAATACATAAGTGCCCAACAGTTAACCCCAGATCTAGGCGGTACTCTGCCTTATAACCACGAGGATTGGATTCAACAGAGGATAGAGTTGGAGACGTTTTCAGCAATAGCTCAACAAATTTCAAATTCTTTGGACGATTTTACAAAAACGATTGAAGAAGGGGAGCTGCCAAATGATGTAGATAGTACCCAACAATTATTGGACAAGCACACATTGATCTATTCGGATCTAAAAAAAGAAATTCTTTCCGTGGCGAAACATGGAGAGGATCTACTGAGCAGTATTAAAGAGAAAAAGTTAGCTATGTATGGAGATGAATCTCAATTTCCTGATCCCAGTGGTAACATATTTGCAGTGGAAAGGCTTCTAGTTCAACTAGAAGGAACTGAGAAGGCTTTTGATGATTTTTGGCAGTTCCATTCTTCCAAATTGAGGCACTGTCTGGACCTTAGAAGGTGTTGTATTATTGACTTGGGAATTAAGCCTTGTCTTCACAATGGGACATTCTAAGCCACTATTGTCAGGGGCCACAATATTCAAGGCGAAAAGGAGCATGGGCATTCTGATCAGGGTTGTTATGTTTTAATCAAAATGTTTAAAACGGGTTTTTTAAACACTGTTTAAAACAATGAAGGTGTTTTAAACCAATTTGTTTTAAACTGTTCAAAACATCTTTTAAACACTGTTTTTTGTCGTTTGTGGCTTATTCAAGTTTTTTTTAAGTATGATTAAAATTGATTTTATTTTGCAAAACGAAACTAAAATGTCCACAGGTTAAAACACCAATATACTTTATTTTTTATTAATTAATCAAACATGAAACTAGGGAACTAATACTAGTGGAAAAAAACTATCTGTTTCTTAACGAACAAGTGAACTTAATAAACTGCATTGAACTCTAATACTAGTACACTACAAGCAGCCGAATAATCATATAATATGACTATGTATTTACTTGTATAATAACATTAAATAAGTTGCTTAAAAAATTTCTATAAAAGTATACAACCCATCTTATTTAATAAAAAATCCTTAAATCCAGATTTTTAAAATATAAAATCATGGAAAATGTACATAGAATAAATTTTTAGTTGTCACTACTTTTTAGGGAACTCCAAGTGAAAAAATGTAATAATCTACTTTTTCACGCTTTGATTTACGTGTTTAAATATTGTGACTAATTTTGCCGCTTTTTCTGTACCCAACTTATTACGAAGTTTGGTGTGGATTATCCCAAATGAGGAAAAAATACGCTCAAGCCCAGCAGATGAAGCAGCTGCTGTATGAAGCTGCTGAACTAGGTCATCTGTAACTTCATTTAAGTTATCTTTCAAGGAATTCCACCAAACAAGTGGTGTGAGGCCTTTCAAGTTGTCTTGAAATAAATAATCCTTAAATGGTGATGTTTTTGCCTGATTACTTACAATAAAAGGTATCGCTTCAGGATAATAACGAGAGGCATACGCAAGACCTTCTTCGCGTTGCTCGAGATTCAATTTAAGTCCTTGAAATCGATGATCTAGTATATTTGCCAGATAGTGTCCTGGAGACATGCTGATATCCTGTTTGTGGCATAAACAAAACGTGCTACTTGGATATCAATCTTTTTCTTCTCGTTATATGTTGTTTTGACAACGGATGAATCCAGTCGCGATTTTAGTTGGACATCGTCTCTATCTCCTTGTCTTCGCCTCAATAACGAAAAATATTTTGTTTTTCTAACAAAATTTCCTTATTTAAGTTGTTTACAATTTTTAGTATGCTTGCGCATTCTAGCCACCAGTGGCACTATATTAATATTGCAGGTTAAACATATTGCTCTTTCATTTATTTTTGAGCCAGCTTTGGCCTCAGTCACAAAAAACAAAACACGCCACCACGCTACGACTTCGCACATTTGACTGCTGGAGATCGCAAATCGCAACGCGAAAAATTACCCAAAGGCAAACGATACTTCCCCGACGTCCGCTTTTAAATTAGAGATGTGCCCTGATAGAGCTGGATCAAAAATAGTAATAACACTTTCAAGGAACTTCATTAACTTTGCTAGATTATATGGGCAATAGTTTTTTTATTTTATTTTAGTGTTTTAAACATGTATTAACAGTGTTTTAAACATGTTTTTTTCAGCTAAATTTGAATGTTTTAAACAAAAAAAAACAGTTTTAAACAAAAAAACATGATTTTTGTTTTTTCTTAAAAACACTTTTTTCAACCCTGATTACAACCCTGATAACCATCCGTATTTACGTAGTCAAATGTAAAAGTCGAAGTCTGAGAAAATTGAGTTCAAAATTCTGGATTCTTCCAAACTCAATAAATAATATTGTTACGACATAATAAAAGTGAATGGGTATTGCAGAGAATCATTTAAATGTGATTTCATATAAATTTACTGTTTTTTCTCGAGCAACTCGTTGCAGGTCTTTTCCATCAGAAACATATGAAAACCAATTTGCCTTGAAAATGAACTTGTAAGGACCATGGTCACGATCAACATGACACCTCGCAACACCTTCCTACAAGGTGTTTTAACGAAATATTTCTTTTAGCATACTGATTCTCCGATTTTTTGTATCAGAATTACAAACGGCACATTCACCATTTTTAAAAATCAAGCAAACTTTTGTCGGAAACTAATCATAGGGATTGGTCCCATGAACAATTTTGTTCGGGGAGGCAAGAAATATGGGGTACTATGCATGGGAATCTCAATACCTGTGGGAGATACACCTTAGGTTAAGTTAGAAAAAGCTGCGATCTTTGGGGCGTAATGCCGTTGAGAAATCATTTTTATTTTTTCTGACATTATTTCAAGAAATATCATAAAACTAATGAAACTTTCCCATAGGTACTTTTTGGGAGCTACATGATGGTGTTTTCAAATTTTATGCTATTATTTTTTCCTACCATATAAAAAAATAAAGTTGATGATGGTTTCTCAAAAAGTATCCGTCGGGCATAAAATTTAAAAACTTCATCATGTAGTGGCTAGAAAGTTGTAATGGAAAAGTTCCATTAATGTTTTGATATCTCTTAAAATAAAGTCAGAAAAAAATGATAATTATTTCTCAACGGCATGTAAACACGCCCCAAAGAACGCAACTTTCTCCTAATTCAACTTAAGCTGTATCTCCCACGGGTAATGAGCCGTATTCATAAAACAAAGGACATCCTTGTACTTGCAAATTTTGAAGGAAAGCCTCCAGATGGTATTTATAATAATTTGAAGTAAATGCTTTTGCTTTTTGGGTATAAGCATATCCTTCAAAGCAGTGACATAAGTAAAAGGATATTCATAATTTTCACCTTATACTTGGCATAGGAAGCATATCCTTCAAAAATTCTGAGTGTGGTCAGTAGCAGACTCAACTTCGTAACGAAAGGTGGTCAAACGATGATGGCGGAAATTGTGGATTTTAGGGATGTAACGTACCAACCTCGTTTACCTGCACTTGGTCGTGACTTGAAAAAATTATATCGGTTCGACGAAGCAAATGTACAATCGCTTGCGGACAGATTTTTAGTTGAGGATGAGGAAACTCGAGGAGGAGCACTTTCATGTATTCATAAAATGAAGATATATCTACGCTATCTCGGTGTCCCTGGATATCACCAAGGTATTGGTCAGGAACTTGGTGTTAGTCAAGCAACGGTATCTCGGACTGTGGATAGAGTTGTGAACAGTTGTGATATGGCAAAGCATGTATAAATTTCCGACAGCAACTGGTGTAATTGATTGTACACATATGGGAATCCTGAAACCAAATCGCCCCGGAGATGAGTTTATCAACCGAAAAGGGAAACCTACTTTAAATGTGCAAGCCACTTGTGATGCCAGAGAGATGTTCACAAGTGTTGATGTCAGTTGGCCTGGATCAGTGCATGATTCAGAATATGGAGAAATTCACAGACTAGATCACAACTAATAAATAAAGCAAAGGTTGTACTACTTGGCGATGACGGTTATGGTATTGAGCCATGCCTTATGACTCCCTTCAGAAATCCTACTCCAGGTGCAGAAATAAATTATAATAAGCTTTTAAAACAAGAAAGAGTTACAATTCAACGCTGTTTCGGTCAACTGAAATGCCGGTTTCCTATCGTACAGTATGTTTGCCGCGTAAAGTTGGAAAACGTGCCGAAAATAATTATTGCTTGTATTGTACTCCATAATGTTGCGAAGAGCTTGGGCGATCTTGACTTTAAGTTAGTTGAACAAGACCCAGATGAAGATGAAGGAAATCATGAGAATGACGAACTTCCTCTCCGCCAACTAGGTCAACAAATAAGAAGAAACTTGAGTATTATAATAAATAGTTTTACTGATTAAAGTGAATCTATAAGTTATAATAAGTTTTATTTTCGTTAACATCATAAGTTACAGGTGGTTTCTGACGCTGCATCATTTCTAGTTTCGTTTTATAATACTCTTGTTGTAAAATACTTGTTTGGTACTGCTGGAATAGCACTAGACGTTGCAGTTCTTTTTTAGTTAACCCTTTGGTTTCCTCAGTTTCGTATTTCTCTGTTGCTAATTTTCTTTTTGGTATATAGTTCACTTCCTTCTTCTTGAACACTACCAACCTGAATGGCACCTATAATTTTCGCAATTGTAGGATTACAGACACCTTCCATAGCTTTCTGCAACTTTCTTTCCCAATCTAACAATTTAATTGCTTTATTAACAGTTTTTTTAGATCTGTTTTATTCTTCAATCTTGATTTCATATTGTTGATTTTTTTTAATAAGCCTTCAGTATCTAATGGTTTACCGAATGTTGATTCGTATTTTTTCAACATCTTTTTCAAGGCATCGTCCTTTCTCATTTTTATTTTTGGAACTTGCGACTTTTGCAAAATAATGGAAGCAATGGCAATTTCATCTGTGATGAACTGCAGGCCGTTGCCATTATTTTCTACAGTTTCCTCATCACTCAAGGATGATATGCTTATTAATTTGACAAAAAACTGTATCCAGTAAAAATACGGAACGGTCTGTGGAAGCTCTGGAGTACAACTGTCAGTGATGCTGAGTGAACGAACTCCCACGTCAACTACAAGCTGGAACAAGTCAGGACATGTAGCTCAATATACAAATACCAACCTTTTACTTCTTCTTGGAGGATATCCTCGCGAGTACTTCATTATGAATATGAAAACAAGGATATGCTTATACTTCTACCTTTTTCTCCGAAGCAAGACCTTATACTTTTACCTTATGCTTCTAAGGATATGCTTCCCTTTTATGAATACGGTTCATTGAGATCGCCCCTTAACTTGGATATTATACTGAATTTCTAGACAACTCGACTGGGACCCACTTTCCACAATTGTGTTGTGGCTGGTCCTTTAGGTTGAACTGCCTAAGACGGATAAACTTAAACAATCCGTATTATGGAAATAAAGTATTTCTGGAGCTATGCTTATAAGAACTTTTTCATACATGCCGTATCTGATCATTCATTTCACCTGACAACATTCTGCAAGCCCCTTGTATACTGAGTGATAAAAAAAGGTAAACACCTACGTATGTTTATTAGAATTCAAGAATTTTTTACATATCGATCTATATTGTCATGAACAAGTGATAAAATGTTCAGGTGTTTCTGTTAAGTTTTTGTGGTGGCTGCATGTATTGTTTGGTCATGGATCAACATCGCATTAACCGTTTACCTTGGCCACCACGATCGCCTCACCTAGCTCCAATTGAACATGTCTGGGACATGATAGGTCGCAGGCTATTGAATTTGCAACACCCTCCACAGAGTTTAGCAGCTGTTACTCACGAAATTGCAGTAGCCAGCTTCTGCAGTCAGTTGACGAATCAAGCTAAAATTTTATCATTTTACAAGTGACACTGAATATCGTATATGCTAAAAATTATTAAAATCGAGCAAACATACCTGTACGTAGGTGATTACCTTTTTCTGTCACTCAGTATATAATCAAAACTGTTGCCTGGCAGGAACCATTGCAAAGAGAAGGCTTTTGAAAATTCCTGAATTTTCTTTTCTCAACGCCTCAAATCAAACGAAAATTGTTTTAGGTTTGAACAGGACTTTAGGGAGTTACAAGTAAAATTTGAATCTCATCTCAAGACAATATCAGAAGCAGTTGAATCAGGAGAGACTGTAGAAAGTATTGACCAGCTGATTCGACAGACGAGGGTTTTCGAAAAATTGTGTATAGGAGATATTGATAGAGCTGACGAAGTAATTTCTTCAGGTCAACACCTTGTTAATATAAACTCATGTCCGAGAGAGTGTGTTGAGCCAAAATGTACAGAACTTATTAGAGTTAGAAATTTGCTTTTAGATCGTTTGACCAAGAGAATAGAAGCTTTAACCGCGACTAGAACACTTCTAGAACGTATTGATAATGTAAGTAGCTACGAAGATGCACAATTCTATATATTTTACAGATATTTTCATCATTTACAGGCTAATCATTGGTGTGCCACCGGCGTAGAAATTTTGGCATCCCAGAAAATTGAACAGTGTTCAAATTCTCCCGAACTAGCTGAAAGATACGTGTTAGAAATTAAAGAGTTTATATCATCATCAAAAGATTTTACGTGTAATTTTCCCAAGGAAACAGCTTCGCCAGAAGCTAAAGCTCTCGTTACTCAGGCAAGTCTCACACCAACTTACTCTTAGCGTCAATATTGAGTCTCCCGCTACATTGAAAGTTTTTCTTTACTACTTTTTGTAAGACAAACACAACACGTTGGACACTAGTAAACATCCCCCCTACGCTTGCATTTATTTCGTAATGCAAGACCACTTGTGCCGTGCCAATAATTACAAAAATACATTTCACTATCTTACGAGTATTCTGTAGTTCAACGTCCACACTTGTATAGGGTTGTTTTATAGAAAGCGGAAATAGAAGAGCGACTAGTTGTATTTCCCTTTCCATCCTTGTTTCCATTCAGGTTACACCCGTACCCGAGAAAACTGGAAATTAGCTCATGAACAACCCATCCAAAAAAGAATCTAAGACCAACCCTTACACTATAGGCCTATAGCTTTGATTTCTGTTATCAGTAAGGTGATGGAGAAGTGCATAAATCGCGAGCTTCTGGACTACCTGGATTAGCGACAGTCAGTATGGTTTCCGGCACCAGCTATTCACAGGGGACCTTCCAGCTTACGTCACGCAGTTGTGGAGTAAACTCATCCAGTCTTATGGTGAGGCTTATGACGTTGCTCTTAATATCACGAAAGCATTCGATCAGCTGTGGCACGCTACCCTCTTATGCAAACTTCCATCATAAGTTCTCCCAGAGAAGTTTGCAGATGGGTGGCTGAGCTTGTCTCTGGCTGAAAGATATCCGTCGTAAGTAACGAGTGTTCCCCAGCGATCGGTATTGGCTCCGACACTGTTCCTCTTACATATTAAAGACCTCCTCTCGTCTACGATCAACCGAATCGACATCTTTGCCGATGACAGCACTCTACATGCAGGAATTCAGAGCGTCAAGCCGATCTCTGCCGCTGAGCCTGAAAAAAGAAGTATAGCAGCGATTTCCTTTCTGACGTGAGACCTAGAGGTTATCACTGCTTAGAGACGCAACAATCTTGTACAGTTTAATGCTCCCAAAACACAGAACGTGCGCCGATGTCTCTTCCTCTACCCCACAGCGCACACACAAGGGATCATCAGCCACCCCCATCATGTGCAGGTGGCGCCTTAAGGTGTTATGGCCAGACAACAGTCTCACCAGCAACCTTAGGTTGGCTCTATCCAAAGATAAGCATAAACGTCCATCCTTAGCGCTGCGCCCTACAATGAGTTCCCGTGCCTGACGTAGATGTCTGGAGATGCTTCTTACAGGCATTTGGTGCTTTCATTGCAGCCTGGCTGTCGGAGAAGATTGTTATTCTTCTCCTAGGCCCACCCCCCTCCAAGATAAGGGATACACAAGCCAGAATCGCAACGATTTCCGCCTGGAAAATAGTGATGTATCCACCAAGAGGCTGAGATAACCTCCGCATGACCTCCTCACTCTATACAAGGTGCAGATAAGACCTAGCCTCGAATATTGGTCACGCGTTTGGGGTGCTACCATATTCGTTACATACAATTTTGTTTTAATTAGCCGAATGAAATTCCCATAAGGCTTCTGTGGTGTCTTTTCCAATGTAGCGGGTTACAGGTTTTGACGTCCAGTGCATGTAAACTAAACTTTTAGGTTCTGCAAAGGATAGAAGATGTAACATTAATGTGTAACAAACGTATTAATAGTCTAATCAAACTAGCTGTAAAACCAAAAAAGCCTGTACAAGCAGTTATCCCTGAACCTGCCGTTCCTCGACAACCCCAAATAGGGGCTCCTGTAACGATTTCCAATAGGGCTATACTGAAGAAGGCTTACACGATACCAAAAGTAAGTGATTATACGCTGGCGTAAAATTAACGTTATGGTTCATAACCTTTCTAGTCTAGATTTAATTAAAATGATTAAAAAAAATGTATTATGATAACACCTTTTAAACCTCTGGCAAGTCCTGCTGCTCGTACTCATGCTTTTCGAAAGCGTTTTCAGTATTTTTCGGCTACATTTCAGGCGTTATAACTACGGTTTGGTATGTCTTTCGAAAAGGTAGTGACTCTTGGCTTACTCATATACAGGGTTTCCCAATATACCGTGGACATAGAAGAACCACGTATTTTTAGACTGTTCTCTTTTCAAAACATATTTTTCATTTTTGGAACCGACAGTTGGATTTGAATGAAATTTGGAACGCATGTATTTCGCTAGTTATCCTAATATTTGACTTTTACGAAAAACTCGAAAGGGTTCGAGAAGCGTGAAAGCTACCCCCACCCCCACAAATTATATCAGAATTTTCAACTCTCCCAACGACTCTGATTTTTCTTTTATTCAAAAGACCCATTCATTTACTTCATTTTTTGTCTCTTATAAAAACAGACCGCCTCGCATAGTTTTCGACAAAAAATATATATATATATATATTTTTCAGAGCTGGTTTCTAAAAAATTTTTTTATTACACCAGGTATTAGAATCTTGTAGGCAGAAATGTGGGATGTTATGTCAGTGTCAGCTTATTTTTGACAACAAACTTCATAAAGCTTTATTTGATAAGTAATGTTTGAGTTTATTTATTTATTGTTAATTTGGTCTATTGACGAACCCATCGAGATGAAAATTGGTCTCATCGCTAAAAATGATTTTGTCTAGATAATCACCTGTTTTACGAACATCTGCGGGATTAACAGCAACATTGATGCATCACTACCTGCAATCCAATCGTCCCGCCGTGCTTTTCTTGGCGGAGACAAAAATCTCAGAGTCTGCACCGATTAACCATCTTAACTTCCCAAACTACGAGGTGCACTCCAATCTGAGAAAGAACGGGGGAGTTGTGGCTTTCGTCCGCAGCAGTCTTTTCTGCTCCAGAGATGTTTCTTTGGAATCAGACCGGAAGGACATTCTGTGGCTTCGGCTCAACTCCAAAACATCACCCAAATTTATTTGCTGCCTTTATCGTTCTCCCTCGGACCATAACTGGGATGACCTACTTGAATACCCCGCCGTCCAGATCGACTTCCTGAACATCAATCACCCCGCTTCAGAAGTAGTCCTTCTCGGTGATTTTAATGTCCATAATGAGCTTTGGTTGGGCTCAAACAAGACCGATGCAGCAGGTCGTGCAGTCGAAGCGTTCGCTCTTACTCAAGGGCTGACCCAGCGGGTGACGAACCCTACTTTTTTCCCCCGCGTGCTGGATCTCTTTCTGACCACGCATCCTGTCCCTTACAGCACTGCTGTCCTGTACCCCCTAGGTAACCCAGACCATGGTGTTGTGGGGTTAGGTTTCGGTCAGAACCCGCTGTGGCAGCAGAAACTCGTACAGGTCGCAAAACTTAGCATTACGGACATGCCGACTGGGAGGGGCTCAGAGACTTCTTCTCTAGATTTCCTTGGAGAGATGTCTGTTTCACTGACGCGGATGCGTCGGCTGTCTGTTCTTTGATATCCGAAATTGTCCACGTTGGAATGGAGGAATACATCCCTCACACAGTGAAAGTGCCTAAACCAGGCTCCAACGGCTGGTTTAAATCGTGTGACACTGCTCGCCAGCAGAAGATCAAGGCATACAGAACCTTCTTACAAAACCCGACTGTAGAGAACAGACAATCCGACGTCGAGTCCAGAAACAATTATAACGAAGCGGCTCGCAATGCCACAAAACCAGCACGATATAGAAGTTAGGCACAGGGTAATGTCGCAGCGCAATACAGTCGGCTTTTCTGGACGCGCAGATTGAAAAGAACTTCTCACACAGTAGCCTTCCACCACTTACGTGTCAGGATGAAACTATTATATTCGACTCAAAGGCCAAGGCGGAAGTGCTAGCGAAGATCTTTGCTGTCAACTCCAGCATGGACATCCCCCCTAATGTCCAAGTGCCGTCAATTCAAAGGGTTCCCCACACTATGCAGGAGGTAACATTCAGGCATAAGACCGTAAGACGAGTGGTCTTGTACACAAGGGGTATGCAGCGGAGCTCGTAGGTGGTAGACGGTCTCTGACTGTCGAACGCGGAGGTACCACCCGGCGGATCTCGTAGGCGGGGCCAGATTATACGCATGTTGCACGCACACGTGTTTCCTCGCCAGAGTCCGTGTGGTGTTCCCCCTTTCACCTGTATCCCCCTATAGCCCCACGGTACCCCATGGGTGTTTAAGCCTTAGGCCTTCGTGGTGGTTGGAGTATACAAAAAAAGAAAACAGTTCTTTCGCGTCTCTTCCAGATATCTTATGCATCCGGCACCTTGCCAAAAAACTGGAAATTTGCTCATGTCCAACCCATCCCAAAAGAGAGATCTAAGACCGACCCTTACAACTACAGGCATATAGCTTTGCGTTCTGTTATAAGTAAGGTGATGGAGAGGTGCATAAATCGCGAGCTTCTGGACTACCTCGAACGTCACAGCTTGATTAGCGACAGGCAGTATGATTTCCGGCACCAACGATCCACAGGGGACCTCCTAGCTTACGTCACGCAATTGTGGAGTAAACTCATCCAGTCTTATGGTGAGGCTCATGTCGTTGCTCTTGACGTCACGAAAGCGTTCGATCAGCTGTGGCACGCTGCCCTCCTAAGCAAACTTCCATCCTGCGCGGCTGCTTCGATATAAAAAAAACCATTCACATACTGTTGGCCAAGGATTCAATTGCTAAACTCTCTTCGCTGGGCATGGTCTGTTGGCATAAACCATAAGTCAATTGGACTTTGTAGGCATGCAGGTGTAAATCTTTCATTAGAATACGCTGGAGCGTGGCTGTTTTAATGTCCAATTCTTGAGCGCGATGACGAATCGACGGCCCTGGACTCTCGGCTACATTTTCGCAAACTGCTCTGACATTTTCTTCTGAACGACCGCTGCGAGCTCGTCCCGTATGTTTCACATCATTAACAGAATCATTACTTTCAAATTTTTGGATTATTCTTTTCACAGTGGATGGGGTAGGAACATTATTCCGACCGAATATTAGATGCATTTTTCGAATAGTGGTAATTGAAGTTTCACCACTTTGGTAATAATTTTTAACAATTATGATACGCTGTTCTATTGTATAGTGATTCATTTCCATAAACTCCCGCCTGTCTACTATCGATCTGTC